GTATTATACATGAGATCGTATTATACACGAATAAATACAGTAAATATAAAATTGTTTGCTAAATTGTGAGGAAAATAAATAGTTTGACTATAAATAAATAGTTTGACCATACCTCAAAAGGTTTCTTGTTGATTTGAYGGCGTCATGATGGCGCAGTGCTTAGAGCCATTGCCTCACAGAAAGAAAGCAATCTTTGTGAATTTCTTTTCCATRCATGTTTGTGTTTTCTCYGGGTACTCTGGCTTCCTCCCACAGACCAAAATTATTTATTTTAGGTGATCATGGGGTGTGAGTGATTGTCTGACTTGTCTCTGTGTGTCCCTGTGATGAACTTGCGAGGTCCAAGGTTTGTCCTACATTTCACACAATGACTGCTGGAGATAGGGAGGTACGCACCATCTCCCTGCGACCTCACACACAGAAAAAAACAAGTAAAGAATATAGATGGATTTGTGTCAGCTACAACTATAAAGGTTTAGCTAACTAACCCACTATCAACAACCTTGCTAGTTCTGATGATGTCATGGTTGTAACTCAGCTCTGTTTTTTTCAGGTTTCCCAAGGGGACGCTACTGAGAAGCTGGCTCACCAAGTCGCGGCCCAGATTACTACTGCTGATTGCAGGTTTGAAGAGGCCTCAGGTGACCCTTATGAGGAGAAAAAGGATGAAGCGCACAAAAGTAGCAAAGGCCACGTAAGCGGTAAATATGGCTTATGTTGCATGGTAGAAYGTTGAACCCCACATTAACAAAACAGTAAAAACTGGATTTAAAAGGAGGAAAATACTCATCTTTTCAAYTTTYTCAAGTGGGCAGTCTTGACGTTTTCTTCCRCAGCACAAGTTCTTTCAGTCTGAGAGGTGAGGAGCTTAAGTCAACCCAAAGAGACAAGCAGAAACCTTAGATTCAGCACAGTCACATCAATTTATAATTAAGAGCCTAGCATTCATTTATTGAAGGAAGGCCTCTTTTCTGTTATCTTTCATGCCAAAGTTTTATAATCATATTTATTAAGTTTTTTTTTTGAGCAGACAAACCCTACTGCGATTACAGATCTCTTTTTAAGGGAGGCCTRRGCTTGAAGGCAGCCTAAACCATGTCTGTTTTTGGATTGTGGAAGAAAACCCACACAGACTTGAGAAGAACATGTGATCTCCACAYAGAAAGACCCCTAATTTGAACTCAGGATCTTCTTATTGTAAAGCAACAGTTCTAACGACTAAGGTGTCTTGCTGCTTGACCAGCTCATCATCTTTTATTGACAAATGATGGAATTGATGCAGTTTGGCTCAAACCTTAAAAAAACATGCACAATCTAAAGTGACATTGTGAGAAGTGGCCCGCGCTTCTCCAAAAGCGCTTTACACTACACTCACTACATTCATATATCTAAAAGTTAGTTGTACATACATGTCAACCCCTTCAGACGTTTACCTGTATAATGAGTGGGGTGTTAGTGATGTCACCATCTGCAACACAGGCCACTCTATTCTTTTGCATTGAGGACTTACTGCGCATGACCAAAATCTTCACGAGTTGTGTACGGGAGTCTGGGGCAGTGAACACAGCGTGACCCGGAAGTGACTCACACGAAAACGCTCATGAGTAAAATGGAAGTTTACACATCAATAACTATATTTATTTTCCATCCATCCATCCATTTTCTTCCACCTATCCGGGGTCGGGTCGCGGGGGCAGCAGCTTCAGAAAGGAGGCCCAGACCTCCCTCTCCCCAGCCACTTCTTCCAGCTCCTCCAGGGGAACTCCAAGGCGTTCCCAGGCCAGCCGAGAGACATAGTCCCTCCAGCGT